CCCCCCCGCGGCCTCCTGGCTCGGCAGCCTCCCCGCCCCCCGCTCACGCATGCCACTGATGCACTCGCTCGACCCCGCTCCCCGCTCCCCGCTCCCCCTGGCCAGAAAAACATCCACCGGTCCCTCTTCCTCGCGGCCTCCGGGCTGAGCTTCCTCTTCACCTGGTCGCTGATCCTCTTCGCCATCCTGCTGGACCCGGCCATCCCGGTGACCGTGCACCATGGCCTCCCGATCAAGGCCCTGATTGCCCCCTTCACCACCTTCCTGGCCATGCCGCTGATCCTGATCATGCCGCTGGACATCCTGGGTCTGCCGCAGCGCCGCGGCCTGATGCGCAGCGCCAAGCGCGTCTTCCTGGCCCCCTTCTACCCGGTGCCCTTCTGTGACATTGTCCTGGCCGATGTGTTCACCTCGTACTCGCGGCCGCTGGCCGAGATCATCCTGGCTTTTGCCTGGATCTTCGGCACCATCTTCCGCGTGGGTGTACCCTCCAGCCATGCCTGGCACAAGATCAACCCCTTCATCCTGGCGTGCGTCCTGTCCCCCGGCCGCGGGCCCGGCCACCTTCTGTGCCCATCACCTCGCCAGAAGGATGGATCGTCGTGCTAACCGCCTGCCTGCCCGCCTGCCCGCCTGCCTACCTGCTGATGGGATCTTGTCGAACTTCCCCCTCCCCCCTCCCCCCTTCTCTTGCCCTGTGCGACTCCAGCTTGCCCCCGCTGTGGCGTCTGCTGCAGTGCCTGCGCGCGTACCACACCGACCGCAAGCCCCGGCACTTGGCCAACGCGGTCAAGTACTCCAGCAGCTTCCCGGTCATCTTCATTTCCGCGCAGATCTCCAGCTTCCAGGTGGATTCGCCCTTCTTCTCGTACTGGCTGATCGCCGCCTTCATCAACATGTCCATCAGTATCTACTGGGACTTCGTGCAGGATTTCGGCCTCTGCTACTTCCACAGCGGTGTCAAGTATCCCGGCCTCCGGACGTACCTCATTTACCGGGTACGTGCTGGCCCCCCCCCCCCTCGCTGGCCGAAGCCGCGTCCTCCGTGTCCCGGAGTTTCTTCAACTTCCTCTGCCCCACCATCCGCGGCGGGGCCCTCAACCCGCAGAGCGTCGGCCGACTCATCGCCCTGCTGACCCTGGGAGCCATCGCCACTGGGTCGGTCTTCTTTTTCTGGCTCCGGCGCACGCTACCCTACTACCCGGCGGTGCGCCCGGTCACCCGCTTTCCCCGCGCGCGCGCATACACTCCCCCCCTCGACCACCTGTGCCCGCGATTCTGACGCCCCCTCCCCCGCGCGCAGGAAACCGTCGCCGCATTCTACGAGGCTCTGGCCACCTTCTACCGGCCGGTATTCTTCGTCATCCTGGCCATCTGGTGTGCCGGGCTGAATGCGCACTTCCTCAATCGCTCTGGCATCAGTCTCAGCTTGGCCTTCCAGATTGAAACCCTCTATGTGGTACGGGTGTCCCCCCCCCCCCCCCCCCCCCCCCCCCCCCCCCCCC